CAACACTAAGAAGCTTAAGCCACTTCAGCATGAGTTCAATCCCTGCCTGCCCCGGAGGAGATCCACATGGCATGGCAGACCTCTCCTGACCTGCCTGCTGCTCCCCTCAGCAGTGTACTTTGTCGATCTGCCTGTTCTGCTCCCCACTCTGTCTCTGGTGAATCCTCTCACCCTCCAAATCTCTGGTCTATACCCCAGTTCTGTATAAATAAATAAATAAGTCTTTGAGAGAGAGAGAGAGAGAAGAATACAGGGTATCTAAAACTAGGCTCCCCGCCAAGCAGAATGGGAATCAAGGAGTACAGAGTAAGCTTCTTATGTGGGAGGTGATCCCAGGAAGCACTGGTGAGGGAAGGAGGAAGGGAGACAGGAAGGGCAGGAAATGGATACAGGGTATAATAGCGAACAGTGTCTTGCGTGTGGTATAGAATGTGCCTTGGATCCATCCTACTCCCCCATCACCTCACTTATTGATCAGACTTGGTATTTACTCCCCAGTTTCCATCCCCCCAATTGGTTGGAGGCTGCTCCCCAGGGCGGCATCAATTACCTGGTACTTGGGAGCTGGAGATGCAGGTGGTGAGTGGCAGGTGCAGGCAGTAACACCACTTCTGCAGGTACCTGGTAGGTGAGAGGTGGTGCTGCGGGATCCGTGCGCTGTCCTTGCAGGATAAATACCTGCTGCCTTGTTTACAGAACTGTTCGGGGATTAAGTCCAATGGCTAGTGTAATAGCTGCTCCCACAGACAGTAGCACTTTCGGTTCCTTACAAGCGGTAGGAAAACTCTCTGGGAAGGACTCTGATGGGCTCAGCCTGTGTCACAGTCAGCCGTCAAGCCAGAGGGTTGGGGGTTGGGGGTTGGGATGGGCAGTGGCTGCCACTCTGGGTGAAGAGGAACTGCTAGTATAGCCCAGGAAGAGGAGGCGTGCTTTTCCCAGCAGGAAGGGGCTCTGGGTAGATGAGACAATAGACCTCTACCACAGTTGGTTCTTTGTTTCTTTTACTTTGTAGATGACAAAACTCACGGAGGAGCTGCAGTATAATGAAACCATTTACATGCCAAAATAGAAAAGTCCCCCCAACAGAGCTATTGACTCACTTAGAAAAACAAACTTGAAAGATGCCTTCAGACTTTGGGAGTTAAGAGAGCAACAATACATGTGACAGAAGAGAAAATAATGCAATAAACTCTCGGCTGTTAGACAGCCATTCATCAGTACTCCTTAGCCTGCCAGACAGGATGGCGGGATCTGGGGGAAGTTACCAGAGCCTGCTGAGTCTCAGTTTCTTCACCTGTAAAATGGAGCGATCACGGATGGAATTTGTGAGAAAACTCACGGGCTTGTGAAGGTTAAGTGGTTGACAGGGGTAAGGCGTGTGCAACGGGACAGTGACAGAGGGTGGCAAGCCGTCAGCAGATAGCTGTGAAGGTGGTGATGGGGACTGTGGTTGTCTGAGTATCTTTCCTGCTCAAACTGCTCTTCCATGGCCATCTAGAGGCCGGCAGGTGTCTCTGCAGTTCCCTGTGAGTTTGTGCTCAACACTGCTCACCAAGAATATGCCTTAGCTCTTCTACGCTCAAAAGTAGAGAGGACACATCTCAACCACACGGGGGGTGGGGGGTACAGGTGCGCTAGGGGCGTGGAACTGGACGACCACACAAGAAGGGGAAGTGGGAGCAGGTGAGGAGCTGCCTGTGGGGGAGGAGCCGGGGGAGGAGAGGCTGGCTTGAACCCCTGCAGCAAGCCTTGCCAGTGACTTGGGCCCCACGAGCTGGGAGCTTCATGCTGGAAGCATGCCCGCAATGCTGGGGATCTGTTTCCATCTGCTCATTTTACTGCTGAGTGGTAAAGTGCTAAATGTCATTATCCTCCCCTTCCTTAAACAAGAAAAAAAGTTAACAGCCTGAGAAAAGGAGATATTTCACTTCATTTGGCACCTCGCCACCATCATCCACACAGGGGGCTCCCTGGGGGCCTGATTAGGGGCTGGGAGAAACCCCGCTCTGCCTCCAGCTGCTAGCACCTGCCCTGTGCAGGCTCCAGGCTGCAGCATCAGGCCAGCCCGGAACTTAGCCTGCTGCTGGCAGAGTAGCCAAACCCACCCACCCTCCCAACCCTGGAGCAACTCAAACATTGTGATAGTTGCCACAACAGAGAGAATGGGGGCACAGGAAAGGGACTTGTCGAGGTCACCATGCTTGTTAGTCTGTTTTGAACCAGAAGATAGGAACAAGAAAAGAAGATTTCAACTCAACAGAAGGACAAACTCAGAAAACTTAGCCCTGGTGAACGTGGGTCGATTCCTTTGAGAGGTAGTGAGCTGGCCGTCTGCCAGAGGCATGCAACAGAATGCTCATGGGTGAGCATAGGCCCGTGCAAGGTGGACAAGCTGCAAGAAGTTCAACAAGTTTCCTTCCAACTCTGAGATTCTAGAAACCTGTAACTGGAAAGCCTCACCCATTTTCATGATCTTTAACAGGCTTTGCTCACCTCTAAAGAGGAGGTTCTAGCTGAGCGATGTTGGCCAGGAGGGGTGGCCAGGCAGCGGAGGTATAATTCATCTTCCTGACTCCAAGTATGGGGTCATTAAGCCTTTTTCTCCGCAGTGCTCCCCTAAGAACGTCTGCTGCCTCAGCTGTATGACAGACACTTGTCTTCCCAGCTCCCCGGTATGCAGGCAGCTGTAATTAAAGACAGATCGTCTACCCACCAGTCTCTCCCTAACAGCTAAAGCCCTATTCCTGGGAGATGGCCAGGTCTGGCCTTAGCAGTGTCTTGCTGGAGATGGGCAGCCACAAGCCGTCTCCTCTTGCACCCCTCTGGGCTGGGGAAAGGCCTCTCATGGCATGAGTTCGCCCAGTGCGGAGGGAGCCAGCTCTGCCTGTTAAAACCTTGCTAGTTTCGGGTGGGGCTTCCAAAGTCCCAGCTGCAGGCAGGTCTGGAAATAGGGTTCAAGATACCCCCAAAGAAGCTCCAGTGCTTGTTTGTTAGTCATGTACTTTAGTGGGAATGAGATCATCAGAAAGACAGTTTATTAAGAAAGTTTGACAGGGGCCGTCCCTGGTGGCACAATGGTTAGGACGCAGCAAGGCAAGCTGGCCATAGCTGCTTCGGTGTGTGTGAGGTCCCCGCCCCGGAGGTGACCCACACAGCACAGCAGACCTCTCCTGACTCGCCTGCTATACCCCTCAGCAGTATACTTTGTCGATCTGCCTGTCCTGCTCTCCACTCTGTCTCTGGTGAATTCTCTCACCACCTACACCTCTGGCCTGTACCCCAGTTCTGTCTGCATAAATAAATAAATCTTAAAAAAAAAAAAGAAGTTTTGATAGGAAGAGAGAGGAATACATACCTTGGGGACAGGACAGGTAAAGCCAGGAAGGAAACACAGACTGGGAAGCCTAGAGAAATGGACAGTCTTCACCAACTTCCCGATTTTGCCAGAAAATTGCTTCGAATCAGTTTCTCCAGGGACACAGAAGAAGAAAGAGGTCCCATGCTAGGGAAGTCACAGGTGACAGTTGTGACAGAGAAGGGCTGTGGCGAGAAGTGAAGGACAGGGTGTGCTGTTTGCAGTCAAGTCGCCTCTTGGACTCTGCGGGAAGGAGGGAGAGGTCACCCCCCAGAGTGCTGAACCATGATGAGGCATGAAGTGGAATCAGGGGCCCTTTGGGTGGCCACTGCCAAGATTTCAGATTTCACAGGGATCTGAAATATCACCGTGTTGTCCCCTGAGTACCCCTTGTGACAAATGACATATTAACCCTTAACACATAAACAGTTAATGCTTTAGTGTTAAGCACTTTATTAGTATTTTTCCAAATCTGAAAAAATGTTGAGGTGCAAGATGGTGAGGCTAGGAAGTATGATTGGGAAAGTCACCTCCCTTCCAGGGCTCTCTGTTTTCCCTCCTGCATGCTGAAGGAACTGGGGTGTGTGATCGCTAAGAAGTGCACCTCGCAGTCTGTCCTCCATCTGTCACACAGACGTGAGATGCCATGCGCAGCTGCTGGCCTGTCCCTGGTAATGTCTGACCGTTAGGATACGAGTGATGTAGTGAGTGGAGCTCACTAAGAAAGGGGGAGAGATGCAAAATAAATCACAAACCATTATGGGGGTCTTGCCTTTGCAAATTTCTAGAGCCAGCATTCCTGGCATATGGCAAGAACTTAATCTGCAATTTTAGGTTAAATTCACAATGGGGAGAAGTCTCACAAGAATCTAGCTTAGCCACTCTAAGATCTGGTGGCAATCAGAATCTGTCTGATAATACAGTTCCACATATGAGATTCTATGACTATGATTCCAAGGGTACAAAATTCCAAGAATTTCTTGATTCTCTTGTAGAATTTTCAAGATAGGGTGCAGGTGGCCCTCCCTAATGAGTGGGGTCCTTCAGTCCCTAGAATAGGGAAGTCAAGCAAAAAGTTCGAGCACTGGGTTAATTCCAGGGAGTTTGGGCTTTTCAGAACAAGCTGACGGCGGCTGAGGTCTGCTCGGAGGCAGCTGGAGAAGCAGCAAGAGCAGGCAGCCACCGCCTTGCCCCTCGGTGAAGACGAGCTCTCTGCTCTAACCCCAGCATTTCCGCCCCAGGACCCGGGACCCAGTTCGGTGAACTTCAGTAGGGGGATCTCATGGGAATCCAAAGGCAGCCACAGGGCCTCAGGGATTGAGCGCAGTGACTAGACAGCTGCCCAGAAGGAGGCGATTATCCTGAGTATCTTCGGAGACCCTGCAACTCGGGTATTTTCCGTTGCCAGCCTCCCAACGGCCTCTTGGGCCTCTTGCCTCTGTCCCAGCCTCCCTTGCTGTCCTCAATCGGGTACTTCACCTTCAAGGGCATACCCAACTGGTCCAGCCTCAGTGAGCCCAGACTCCCCAGTGAGAAAGACAACCGGCTAGCTCTGCTCACCTGCCAGCCTAAGGTGGGGCGTGGGGTGAGCATACTGGTCCAGTCAACGGTTGGTGAGCCTCGACGGGGCGGGGCCTCCCGTGCATCAAAAGGAGAGTGCCCGGCTTCCCCGAGATGCTGCCAGGCCTTCACCCTCCAGCTCCATGGCCTCGAAAAGCAGCCGCACCAGCGCCTGCCGTCCTTGCGCCACCAGGGTCCGGGCCAGCCCCAACACCTCGCCGGTGTGACCACGCCACACGCGCTGCAGCTCCTGGCGAAGGCGCGCCGCGGGGTACTTGCTCTGCGCGAGGCGCAGCCACACGTCCACCTCACAGCCCAGGTCCGCATCGCTCAGCTGCGCCTGGCTCCACTGGGCCAGCCACACCTCGAGCAGGCAGCGGAAGCCCTCGGTGTGGCTGGAGCCCTCTTCGTCCAGTTCTACCACGCGCTTGAAGCAAGCCGCCGCGTTAGCCTCCTCTCCTTTGATGCGCAGGCACTTGCCTCGCAGCAGCTGCAGCTCCGGCAGCGTGGCGCCCAGGTCCGACTCGCCAGCCTTGGCCAGGAAGACCAGTGCCTGGTTCAGCGCCGCCTCATCCACTGCCAGGAGCTCCTGCATTGCGTCCACGCCCATGTAGTAGTAGACCTAGGGTGTGAGGTGGTAGATGAGCTCATCTCTCAACCGCTGCCCTCTCCCCCCCCCCCGCCCCCCAGTTTCATGCCATTGCAGTTGCTGCTGTTACTCATGTTCCCACTTTTGCTTTCAAAAAATTCCATGGGCTCAACTCCACCCTCCCTCCTTGGCTCTCCTGGAAAAGAGGAGACAATTCCGATTCCACTCTAGCCCCACCACCATGGCCATATAATTTTTTTTTAAAAAAGAGATTTATTTTGCACTGGACTATGGTGATGGCACATGGGTGACTTGGTGATGGGAAACCCACGGGGATTACAATGGAGATGTCAAAAAAGTACAAAATGATGGAAAAATAAACTATCATCTCATATTAAAAAAATAATAAGATTTATTTATTTGTGCATACAGAACTGGGGTACAGGCCAGAAGTGCAAGGGTGTTGAGAGGCTTCATCAGAGACAGAGTGGGATCAGAACAGGCAGATCGACCAAGTACACTGTTGAGGGGAGCAGCAGATGGTCAGGAGAGGTCTGCGGGGCCATGTGGGTCACCTCTGGGGCCAGGATCAAACTTGCACTGAAGTGGCTGTGGCTAGCTTGCAGTGCTGCGTGCTAACCCATTGTTAACCCAGGGAGGGCCTGGCCACATAATTTTAAGCATGGACATCTTATGTAAAATTGTGATATGGTCACCTCTTGGTATTCATTTTCTGGGCACAGAGAGGACTTGTGGATAAGCCTAATAATGGTCTACACCTAGAAAGATCCAGGCCCTATTCTAAGCGCTGTATGTCTCTTATGTCACTTAATCTTGACTATGGCGGTAGGTGATGGGTACTGTCACCAAGCAGAAGGAGGCCTCAGTGCCTAGATTTGGCCTGGCGGAGAGCCAACAGATTTTTAGAAAGCCATTGACTACCCAAGCATAGAGGTTGCCTTACCTGGCTGATGTCCAGGTAGGTCTTGAGCCCTGGGCACACCTTGACTACTTCCTCCAGGTCAGCCTTGGCGCAGGCCAGGTGGTTCCTGTCAGGCAAGCCCCCGAGGCCCATCTTGGCTCGCTCCAGGTCGTGCAGGTAGGCTCTGATGTGGACCTGCCTCCAGACAGACAGCTCAGGGAAGGTATTCCAAGCCAGGATCCCACCCTCTTTTCTACCCTAAATGAAGCCAATCTCTTCTCAACAGCAACTTGAGGAGCAGGGTCTGGGGTACAGCAGAAAGCCCTTGAGGCTGAGACAAAAGAGTCCTACATCTTACTCGTGCCAATTTGGGCTAGTCACTCCCCTTTATGGGCCTGATCTTCCCTGTCTGTACAAGCAGGATATTGGCTGAAATAAGAGCTCCCATTTATTCATCACTCAACAAATACATACCTACTGCCCACCATATATGCTATCCTGTACTAGGTACTGGGGGTTCAGTGGTGAAAAGACAGATGAGGTCCCTGTCTTGGTGAAACATAACATTCTGGGAGGCAGATGATCATAAGCAACAAGTAAACAGTGCCATTTCAAGTGGTGATAGTGCTATAAAAAATCCAAGAGGTGACTGGGGAGGAGGCTACTTTCGATAGCAGGCAGTACTGATTTGGTGAGTCGACATAAGCAAACAGCTTGGGAAGGTGGCCCCAGCTTACAAACATGAAATTACAAATGATTCGAGCCCCTTACTTTTATCTTCACTTCCTCCCTTTCCCCTACATTTGCAACATGTAGAAAATCTAGAGATTCAGGAGGGGTAGGGCAGGGGTGAGAAGGCAGAAGGAAAAGCTGGTGGTTGCTGTTGCAGGTATTAATGCTTTATAGTCATGGTGGGCTCTGGCTTTAAGACATCATGGCGGCAGCAGGTGGGTGACTCCCGAGCGTGCAGCCAGACTGGCTTGGATTCTAGCCCTTCTCTGTTGATGAGCTCAGGAAAGGTGTTCAATTTCTGTGAGCCTCATTTTTCACATCTGAAAGATTAGTTACACTGATATCTTCCATGGGCAGTTACCATGACAGTTGAGGAAGCATAGTCTAGCCAGGTCCTAACACCTGATGCTCAGTTGGTTCATTCATTCATTCATTCATTCATTCATTCATTCAGCAAGTACTCATCAAGAGTTTGCTCTGTGCCAGGGGCTGTTCCAGGCACTGAGGACATACTAGAGAGCAAAAGGACCAAATTCCTTTCTGCTTATTTGTAAATGACACAGGTGTGCTCTCACAGATGCTTGTGAGTATTAAATCAGATCATGAACCTGAAACTGCAGGGTGAAATGCAAAGTATTACAGAAATGTTTTATTTACAGTTATGGTTAATATTACTATCAATAAAAACCACACCAACTACCATGAGAGAATTTCCTGCCTAGTATCTGCTGGCAAAATGATTATGTCGTTGACATCAAGCCAAGGGTGCAGACTTGCTATTAGACCTGTGAAAGGTGTTGGGGGTGGTGGGGGAGGGCTATTAGTCTGTTTAGCTGGGAGTAAAATAAACTCAGAGTTCCAGGCCTTTGTCCCCAAGCAAATGGGCTATGGGGCAGATCTGAGTCCAGAGGGGGAAGCCTGAGCAAGGCAGCTCTCTGCTAAATTTACAACTCGCAGAGTTGAACAACCCTGCATTGGAGAGCCTCTAGGGACAGAGAATCAGGTAAGAGTACCCCTAATAACAGCAATCCATCACTTGTGAGCCCAGAGTCCAATAAAAACTCTCATGAGGCAGGTGTGATCATCTCCAGGCAACAGATGAAGAAACTGGAGCTCAGCGTTTAGCAAGGCCATTTGTCGGTGGTGACCCAGCACGCACATGGCACTGTGAGACCTGAGCCACGCTGCTGTCTCCTGAGTGCTGACCACCCGTTAGCCACCTAGACCATGCCCCCTAAGGCACCTGCTCTGATCTGGGCTCGGTGCTTTTGAGGTTACCTCACTTAGTCTCCTGACGCCTCTGAAGATAGGTGTTTTTAATCTGTATCTTCCCGATTTGAATATGGACATTTGAAGGGGTAAGAGGCTGGACCCAAGCCCCACAGGGACATGTGGAGAGGCCACATTTCAACCCAGGTGAGTCTGACTGCTCTGAGTGTTCAGGAAAAGATGGGGGGCCGTGAGGAGGGATTTCTGCAGGGGGTGGAAGCGCCTTCGTTCTCCACTCCCCAACCTTTCAGGACACACACCGCATGAAGGCTCCATGACCTTTGGACCTTGGCAACAGGGTCTTGACCCCTGGTGCCTGTGCCTGGTTCCTGCAGGTGGGAGGCCGTGACACTGCAGGTTGACTCACCTTGGCCCTGGTGCAGTATGCCTGCCAGTTCAGCTCTGGATCTCGGAGGACATCCAGGGCCATGTTGCAGATTCCAATGGCCATATCTTGCTTTCCTAGGAAGTGGAAGATTTTGGCCAGGCGATTCAGGATAGGAGGTTGGTCCTTAGCAATCTCAATGGCCTGGTGATGGAGGCAAGTGAAAGCAAATCACTTATCACTTATCAGTTCCCAGAACTGACTCAAGGGTGCCTAAGGAACTATATAAGAACCCTGTCTGGGTAGAGTCATGTCCCCACAATGCCCTTATTCCCTGACCCACCACCAGTACATTAAACCAGAGGGACCCAACAGCTGTGGGAAAACTCACCAGCGCTCAACTCCCAATAGAATGAGTCATTGCCCCCCAGCCATGTTTATGAGTCATGTCCAGTGACTCCCCAGATGCCAGCTACCCCCTTCTCAGACACATCCAGGGTATGTTCTCCTATTGTGCAACACCAGTGGGAGGAGGAGTCAGCATCAATCACTGCCTCTCCTCATTAATCCAGCCCTCAGCACACCCCAGGTCGCCGGGCCTGGATGGATGACTTCAAAACGGAGCAACACATGGAAATTGTCACAAGAATGGGTGTCGAGGCTAAGGCTTGAGCAGCACTTCATGTTTATAGCAAATCATTTTCTACACTACCATCTATGAGTCTCTCCATAACCCAGAAGACAGGCAGGTCGCGTCTCTAATGGAGGCTCAGAGACTTGGAGTCACACAGCCTGGGCAGAGCTAGAACAGCAGCCCAGCTTAGCCCATCTTCTACCCACTGTGTGTGGTTTGGAGGGAGGGAGGGGAAGGGCAGAAAGGCTTGAGGAGGAATGGTCTAGGGTCCTAGGATCTACCTGGGAAGTACAAATGCCTTAGAAGACAAGGCCAGAGATGCGGATGGGTCCAGGGTGGGTCTGATTCTTAGGCTGAGAGGAAGGGTGATACTGGAGCATTTGAGTTTGTTTTGAATGGAGAGAGGCCTGGAGGCCCTTTCTGGGTGGGGAACGTGATTAGGGCGATACCCAGAGCAGCAGCAGGCTCTGGGGAGGCTGGGCTGTCAGGCCCCTTCCCAGTTTGGGAGGGAGGACTCGTACCTTGCCGAAGCAGTCCAGAGGGTCAGTCCCCGAGTACCCGCAGTCATGGACGCCCATGGGGGTGGTGGAAAACGTGTCCTTCCGCTCCAGCAGCATCCCCAGGTAGCACCAGGCCAGAGCTGCCACGAGGGTGGGAGAAAGGTTCTAAGACGCGGTCAGTGGAGAGAGGAGGGGAGCTGCGAGGAGGAGAAGGGTCAGAGCCCCCTGGAGACAGAGGGTCAGTGGCATGCAGTCACTGAGGTGGGCCAGTGACAGGAGCTGGCAGAGCTAGTGACGGGTTCAGGTGAGCTGGGCAGAGGCTGCTCCCCACCGTGCCCCCGTGCTCCTACCTCGGTGGCGGAGGTCCGAGGACTTGAGGACTTGCCGGAGCAGGGTCAGCGTGCGGTTGAAAGCAGGCAGCCTTCTCTGCTCGTCACTGCCCAGCTCCAGGAGAATGCCATCCAGCCTGCGTACAAGAACGGGGGACGGCTGGTAGGTAACCCCTCCTGCTGCCCCCAGTGTTGCAAATGCAGGAGGGAGAATTTGGGGAGCTCTTTGAAGGAGATCTATCCAGCCACTTCCCCCCTGGGTCTAGGCCACATCTCTCTCCCCACCTCGCCCTCCGCTCCCCTTTGCCCTGGCCCCAGCCTGACCTGATGAAAAGCGTCGCCATGGTGAAGTACCAACTCCTTTTCTCTTCCATCGGAACCTAGGGGAGCAGAGCACGGCCTGTGACCTGTTATGGAGGTACCTAGGCCATTATTTGTAGGTTCCCCCACTTTCCCTGAACCCTGAGAAGGAGTGAGTACGCTCTTGACTATATTCCTGGCCCTGCCAGTGTTTGGCTGAGTGACCTCGGGCCAATTACTTCACCTCTCTGATCACAGAGATTTGCTGAGATAACCTGTGGAAATGCCCCCTGTCAGGCACCCGCTCACGGGAGCATGGATAGGTTTCTCTCCTCCCATCGTGCTCCTTAAGCTAAGCAACCCATCTCCCTCCCCCAGCTAGATTGGCGGTTGGGAGAGGCCCTCACCCACCCACATGGTCCATACTACTTCTCACCCACTGTCCACTCCTCTCCTTTGGGCCTGCTGAGTGAGCCCAGCTGAAGCCCAGGACCACCCTGAACTCTTTTCCCATTGTTATTCTTGCCAACCACGCTATGCATTTAGGCTGACTTGGGCACCAGATAAAATATTTATGCTGTTATTTATGGGAGTAGCTGCTCTTGCCTCGGGAAGGAATTTTAATGAAAACCAATAAAACCTCCAGAGCATATCAGCAGCTCTGCTTCAGGCTCCGGCCCGCCCTCCACATTCATCTGCTATCGTGATCTCCAGGCTCAGTTCTGCACTCACCACCCCCCACCCACCTGGGTCTCCTCAGCCCAGGACCCCCATCACCCCTCCGCTCCCACCCCAGCAGCAGGGTGAATGCATTCTGTGTAGCCAGCTTCCTAGCACTGTGGCCAGAGGCCCTGTGGTAGGTGCTCTGGGGATGTGGCTCTGTTCAGGACTTGCCTTGGGCCCCCGCGGGCCCACAGCCTGGCTAGGACTGGGGAAGCAGACCAGGCAGCAGGGTGGGGTCTGCACACTGGCCCTCGTCACCATCCCGTCAGGATCCAGTCATCATTTCAACAGCACAACACCTGTCAGGTAGCTGTTACTCCATTTCACACAGACAATACTGCAGCTTAGAGAGGTACAGAGACTTGCTCAGGCAAGTCAGGATTTGAGTGCCAGAGCCAAGATTTGAGTGGCAGAGCCAGGATTTGAAAGGCTCTTGCTAGTCTCCAAAGCCCATGCTTCCCTCATCACCCAGGTTGCCAGTAGCTAGAGGAAGTGTGGTCACAACCAGTGCAGCAGGGTGGACTCTAGAAGGTCTTGCCCAGCGGCCCGTAGGGTGGGTCTGAAAGACAGGGTTATTTCAGAAATAGCACAGGGAGCGAGGGCATTCCAGGGGAAAGATTCGGCGTGGAGACACAGGCAGCCTGGTGAGCGAGGAACACGCATCTCTCTGGGAATGGGACCTGGGGTGGGGAGTGTGTGTCCACCGCTGGCAAGTTGGGTGGTGCTGGGAGGGGCGGGGAGTGGCAGGGGGCCCTGTGAGTCAGCCCCCACTAAGTGGTGTGACTGCTCATCTTGGGGGGGGGGGCTTTCACATGGGTCTGAGAGCAGACCCCATTAATTACATTCCTCAGCCATATTCACCAGTATCGTCTGTGCGGCCCAGGCTGGGATATGGGGACGAGAACGGAGAGTGCCCATCTGGTGGGATAGTCAACGCCAGGCCACAATTTGAATAGATGAAACAGCAGGTACCTGGGGACGAGGGATCCTAGATCATCCAGGAGTGTCCCCAGGCTTCCCAGAGGTGGCTGAGCTAGAGCAGGGTTTTCAAGGACAGGTAGGACTCACCCAGGTGGGTGCAGCCAGAAGACATTCCAGACAAAGGGGACACCATTTGCAAAAGCTGACAGATGGGTGGTTCAAGGTGTGTCAGGGAGCTGGGGGTGATGCATGCAGTTCTGGGGGCGGGGATGCCACTTGGAAAGGGGTGAGCCAGTAGGGGCACATCAAGGGGACCCCTGAGTGCCAGGCTCAGGACCTGGAACTCACTTGCAGGGTAGTGGGGAGCCACAGAAAGGGTTAGAGCTGGGTAGTGCTGAGATCCAATGCATTTTTATATTCACATCACCTTAAGGGTAGTCCTGCTACTTGGGTGGGAAAGTGTATGTTCGGGCTGTAGCTGGGAACAGGGCTGGGAACAGTGGAGAGCTGTGGGTCCCAAGAGTTAAAGTGCATCCTTGAGAGCTCAGGGGAAGGCCTGGCCAAAGCAAAGGCGTAGGGTGGCCTATTGGACTGCCTTGCCTGCTGTATCTGCACAGACTTGGGTTCATGGGCCTAGCTGGCTACAGACCTTGACATATAGCCAGTGCCTGACCTTGGAAGGACCCAAGGCATGTGTGCTCGGGCTCCCTGGAGATTCGTTGGTGTGACCTTTAGCTCCAGGCCAAACAGATGGGGTTAAACAGAACTTGCCCCCTGCTCCCTCAGACTTCTAACAAAAAGAAGTGCGTCCATGAGCAGAGGCAGGTGTGTGACCCGGGAGCTGTAATGCAAAGAGCAGAGGTTGAGATGGCTGAATGGCCAAGGCCGGGAAGCTGAGTGACCCTCAGTTGTGTCTTTATATTATCTGCAAGAGGTGGGGGGTGCTAATGATCTAAGCCTCTCAATGGTGAGGGCAGTGCTAGGCCCAGAGTACACAATCTATAAATGTTTGCTCCTTTTCTCCTGGTTTGGGTTGAGCTGAGCAAGGTTAGCGATGTCCATGAGGCTGCTCTGTCCACTGCAACCTGTATCTGTTTCTGTGGGTCAGTGAACCGAAGCATCCTGCTTCGCCCTTGCTCTCCATGGCTGCTGTGTCCCTGTGTCCCACCCAGATCTCTGGGGGCTCAGACACCTTTCTGGCCTCCACAAGCCCCTTGTTTTGGAAAGTAATGTGGTGTGCTCAGGGCTCTCCCTGGTTCATAGCCACTCTCTTGTCTGGTTTTCAAGCTGTAAGAAATTTAATTATGTGCCTGAACTGCCTGGTCCATGCCTGAGCTGGGCTGAAACTCAAGCCTTCAGAAACCCAGCCCCATGCCAGATCCACAACACTCATTATCTTGATCAGTCTCCTTATTACATATATGAGAGCACTGAGACCACAGAGGCGCAATAATTTACTCATGGTGACCCACCACTTAGAGTCAGGATTAAAGCCCAGTGGTTTTACCACCATTCAGATATCCTTAAGTCAAGAGCCTGGTTATGGTGTGCACTAAGCATGCAATACTACCACCTGGTGGCAGTATGCCTGAATTGCAGGAGCAACTCACCATTAATTCTTCACCTTCTCTTCAACCTGAAGATTAAAACTGATTTTCAGAAAAGTAGCTAGCTGAGTGACGTATGGCAAATCCAAACACAGTCTTTCATCAGATACCACTGAAAAGTAACACTTGCAGGTGGGCTTATGGGGTTGCAGAGACAGAAATGGAGTTAATGGTGTAAACAGATCTAGATGTGGTGTCTGCTCCTGAACGTCAATCTTCTGACACTGCCATGAAGCTGGTGGAAGCCAATCGCTCTGTTGTTCAATTCTGGCCCTAAAACAAGCAGTCTCTTTAAAAATCCTTCTGGTTGTAACTGAAACAGTAGCTGAAACTGTTACCAGGGGCAACCTGGCAAGCCACAATGCGTTAAATTAAATTAAACAGGCCTCTGACTGCCCCCTCCTCTCCTGGAGAAGGAGGGGGACGTCCCACCATGCTCCTGGAGAATAAAGTGCTCTGAAACCTCTTCAGGCTGCAAGGAATTCACTTCCAGAGTTGACAGCCCCCACAGGCATGATGTCTGGAGGCAGCTGGGCTGGGGCTGAAAGACTCCTGCCAGGAGGGGAGTGTCCACAGAGGACCTGCCCCTGCACGTTCTGGGCGGGACACCCCACCCCATGTCTTGTTTAATCCTCAGCAAACCCCATGAGCTAGGGACTGCAGGGGCACAGAGGGTCCTGGCCTGCGTGGGAGTCAGCCCTGTTTCAAGTGGGAACAGCTTCCAATTAGCAGATTTGTGACAAGAGAACTGGGCCAGACCCAGGTACCCTCACTGACCCTGACGTGAAACTCTTGGACCCCAGGACCAGCTGTAGGTGAGGGGGGACACAGACCCCAGGACAGGGCTTTGGAGGACACATCTCAGTACCCCTGAGCTTCACTGTTATTTTTCTTAGAAATGGAGAAGCCAGTCTCTCAGAGGCAGACACCTGCCCACTTCACCTGATATTTCAGGCCAGGCCTTTCAAACCTCAAGTTCATGTTCTCTCCCAACACTTAGCTGCAGTACTTGGACAGTGCTTAGTGCTTAAGAAGTGCTTCCATGTAAATTCCATCTGGTTGGCTTCAGCGCACCATGGGTGGCGTGTAGACCAGGTGAACATCACCCTCTGAGCACAGGTGGGAAATCTGAGGTGAGACACTGTCCTCAATGTTCCACAGTGAGTGTGAAACCTGGACGGGAATCTGGAAATGGTCCTTTTATGCTATTATGCTAATAATCCCCTTTATAGAGTGCTTGCTACACACCAGGCACATGTCAACCCATCTGGCCCTTTCTGAGGCTGCCTGTGAGGTAGGGGGTAGGATTAGCCCAGTTTTACAGGTGAGACAACTCTGCCCCGGGGTAGCTCAGCTGAGGCAGCAAGCTGAACGAACGAGCAGCTTAGTTCCAGAGTCCCAACACCTAAGTATCAGAAACCAGTGTTTCTCAGTGTGTGGTCCGCGGACCAGCAGCTAGAAAAGCAAATTCTTAACCCACTGACTGAAGTGGGAGTCCCACTGGGGTTGGGGTGGGATCCAGCAACCAGTTCTGTAACGCACCAGACTTGTTTTACCACATGAGGAGAGCACAGTGAGAGCGGGTTGGCTGGTGTCTCTCTTTGTAAATGAGCACACAGATGAGAAATTGTGGTCCTCAGGGAAGCCTGAAGAGCCAAGTGCCCGCAGTGGGGTGGGCCAGTGAGAAGATGGGGGGCCTGGCAGAACCTGCCGAAGAGAGGAGGGTTAGGCTAGCCAGTCAGGAGCGGGAGGGTGTTGACTTGGGTGGGTCTAAGTGGAGACCCTGACGGTTCCACGGCCCTCCAAAGGTGGCTTCCAAAGGACACACG